TTCATCAGCAAAGTCATTCTTTAACATTGGCACAGCCATTTTGTAAGGTTGTTATTAAGTTTTCGTGACCATAAGATATGTATTTGTCACACCTTATTCATGATATGTGTGTCTGAAAGTAGGTGTGTTTCACAGTTTCAGTTGGTTGCCAATGTGCTTAGTCATGTTGAGGCTAATCCAGTCCAGAATACTTTGCTGCAAACTTTTTATACGGTTTGCACAAATATCAAAAGGAAGGAAAAGGGAATTACACAAAAAAGATCCAGGCATTTGTTTCCTGTATGAACATATTGAGGGCAGTGCCATTACTCTGGCTCCAAACACAACATGTTTGAAGTTTGGAGGTGGAGTGGAGGTTGGCGTGGGCCCAGCAGGTGGGCAAGAAGACTGCTGAGAGCAACAGAATGGGAGAGAAAAGAAGACGCCAGCCAGACAAAAATGTCTGGGTAGGGGGCTGCTAAAAGCCAGCTAACAGGCGGCTAACACACATGTAGGCCTGCAACAGTTGAGAGGGTGGGCCTGACGTCTCTACACGTTGTGGTTGTACTTCTTCCGACAAATGGGTTCAAAAACAGACCCCACACACAGAGATACGCCACAACCTCACCAGCCTTATCTTTTCCATTTGTCCCTTTGTTATTATAAAGGTTTTCAGTGAGTGGGGTGAAACAGAGTTCACGTAAACAGACATACATACGAATCAGTAAATGAGTGTTGCTGTCCTGCTCATACATAGGCAACTTTCCGTTTCTTTTACAACAAGAAGCACAGAGTGATGAAAACCTTGAGGTTTCTTTCTTAGAAACCAGAGCTTTAAGAGACACTAATGTGTGTTAAGCACTTTGCAATATTGTGAAAAGTGCCATAAAATGTATTTATTTTTATCATATTTTTATCATCATTGCTGGTCTCCCGAACAGAAAGGCCTTTAATTTCTATTTCTTGTAGTTTCCTACAAACGAATCAAGAAACCCCTGACCCACTTAGATGAAAGCTATTTTTAGTCTACCACCACTAGGTTGAAGTAAAAATGGCTACATACTATAACATATTTGTCGGTTTCTGCCCCCCCCCCCCCCCCCACCCCCGACACACACATATGTGGAATTCATCATTGCTACTAAATGCCTTTCTGCCTGCTTTCTCAGACTACACAAACATGGGCTGTCAACATATCATGGAGAGCATCCCAAACTCAGATGCTCCTGGAATGCTAACATGGGGGTGTTGGATTTCCTAGTTACCACTGCTCCCTCCTGGGTTGAACCAGCTACAGTTTCCTGCAGTTCAGAGGTCAACAATTGATGAAATGTGACTGCCAGATCTGCTGTTTGCCCAGCTTTTAGCTACCTAGGATCTGAGGCTCTTGCCAGTGTTGTAAAAGTGATAGAAACCGCCTCGTTAACTCCGTCTGCCTGCACAAACAGCTGGCAGTGACACAGTCTGCATGAACTTTGGTAGCTACAATGAAACCCAGCTAAGGACTGAGGATGCCAGCGTCCTGCTGTGAGGCTGTCATCTGCAGACACACCACCCCAAGTCCTACAGTGCACCTTCACACTCAGTGAATTCTACATGCACAAAGATCCTAATAACAGAGATGCTCTAGGAGAAATTTTGCTTTCAAAAAGGGACAGCATTAGCTAGTTCTTATGCAGCAGATATGTTCTCAGCTGACACACAGTCTGACACCATGGGTGAGCTTGGGATGAGCCAGAAATGGTGGATGTAATGGGATGGAATGATCTGGAGTTGTGCCCAAGCCTCTTAAAATGCTGAGCAAGTCATCACGCTGATAAAAATGCTTTCCTCACTAGCATTTAGGGAGAGCAATAACATGTTATAGAGAATTCAAGAGGCCTTGTAAGCTCCACTTGTATTAGCCTATAGAAAAATATTGTCTAAATGAGTAGGACACTCTAAATAGGTGGTCCAATTCTATCCAAATGACAGCTCAATTTTCTTTGTAAAACTAAAAAGTACAGAAAAGGCCCAGAATGGTCTTAAGGGACTCATATGAATATGAAAAGCCATCATTCTACGCTTTGTCAGTGGGACAAAGGACATGGCTGTGAAGCTGGGAGACGAGCCCTCATCTGGCTAAGCTCTCAGAGCGTCCGTCCAGAACTCCATGCATTCCTCTGTTAATTTCCCCTCAGTGGGCAGGCACTTTCCCTGCCAAGGACTTGTCTTACCTCCGGTCTGACCGCAGCAGCTGCCCGTGTTTGGACAACCTAGGCCAGAAAGTGTAGTGAAGAGCTCTTCCTGTAGACCTCTGGGATCAAAACAGGTCATGGGGCCCTACTGCAACCACCACTGCACGATAGCACAATGAATGTTACACCGTGACCTTTCTACTCCAGGAAGCCCTACCCTGCTCATTTTGGTGTTAATGGAGCACCACCGGACAAATGTTTGGGGCGGTGGCAGTGTTAAACATGCCGGGGTCCATGTCTATCCCGTGGCAACCGATGGGATGCAGCCTCCTGGGAAAGGAGACATTCCGCAGAGGAGCACTGTACAACTGCCTGGTTACAAAAACACTGCAAGTCTTGACATGCGCCCCATTCCAGAGCAAGAACGGCAAAAATCTAGTGGAAAACACACACAACACACCTTCAAAGAATTGTAATGAAGGGCATGATGGGTTAGATCATAGCCTGTGGTTTACTCTGAACATTAAACAGGTAGTTGTTATTGACTATTTGTGGATATTTTGGAATAATATCCTTCTAAAACAGCAGGAGACACAACACGTCTAATTAAATGACTGTTTAGGCTACAGACCAACTAAAGTTACAAAGATGTTTTATCACGCACGTAGAAGTTAACATGCTTGTAACAAAGTGAAGTGCAGTGGGAGTGTAAATAATGCATCCCTTTCTACAGTTGACTTCACAGCCAACACAGGCTAAAATTTGCTAAAGCCAGATTCTACAGATCAAATCTCCTCTAACAGGATTACAGGCCTGCACTTTTCTAACAATGGTTGACGATGTTACAAAGCAATTCTGGTCAAGGAAAAATAAAAGAAACACACCTGCACACACACACACACACACACACACACCAAACCACAGCCTGTGCAACTGTAGTAATTTACCGTTATGTCTTTAAACGTATTGACATTTTGATTATGCAAACTAAATCAAATGTCATACACAATAGCAACAGTCCCCCGGGGTTGCCCTGTGGTCATCTTGCAACTTGTTATATTCTAAAAAGCCTGTCCTATAAGCTCAGGTGTCCACGGGCAACAGGCTTTTTAAGTTTATACACCACTGGTTAATTCATTTCCTGCAATGTCTAGCCAATAACTTCCCAGAGCTGTCATTGCCAAACATTGATTGCTCAAGTCAGAATAGATGACACAATGGGCTCCTCAGTCCGCCCACACATCTGTGAGGGAGAGACGGAGCGGGCCTTGACTGCATGACATCTCGGAATTGGATTTCCGATTAGACGGGTTTAATGTAATTACCTTGAGTACATTGTGCAGTCTGCACTAAGTAACACAGCAATGCATCACCCTGAGCCTCGCCGTAACACCCTCAGATGAAGGTGGCCGGCACTGAGCTCCCAAAGGAGCAATATTATATTTTTATTGACAGACGATCACCTGCGAGTGCTCAACATTAAAACAAAGGTGCAAAGAAGCCACTTGTATGCTTTTGACATGCAGCACTTTGCCCGGCCATACATTTTATCTTAACATAGCTTCAAGCTGTATTTTGCTTTTATCTATAAGGCAGACATATAAAAGACTGTGTAGCCTTAAAGAGAAGGCTCTTCTCAACAACAAAGTTGTTTTTTTTTTTTTTTGGTATTGCATACAACACAATGGCTGCCTCAACTTCGGATGCATTATGAAACTGCATCATGTTTTTTCAGAACATTATGTTTCAGCAATGGGAAATTCAACACTGCTGTTGTGGTAAGCCTATAATTCAGATAAAGATCTGCAGGACAAAACTCATAAGTTATTAGAGCATGCTATTATTTAATATTACTCAGCTGCCCCTCACTCAACTCAGTAAAATAGATGGTACATTAGAAGAAGGTCCAACCAATCTTCTAATGAGCCTATTGCCAAATTGTCCATTTTAGGCAAATGTGTCCTGTTCTGTACACCAGCACTCCCAATCAGTTCCATGCATTTTAATCTGAGCTTCTGCCGACTACTACTATTACGGTATGTGCACAGGTGGCATGTGGGCAAGGATGACAGGTACTGTATACTGATCTTAGTTTGTTTTCGTGTCTCTAAATCAGAACTCATAACTACTAAAAGGAGGAGTGGGCGGGACAAAATGCATCGTCACAAGCAAAAACCTCGACAGAGCAGTTCATTCTTTCTAACCTTGCATGGCAGGTCTTAAATGGATGTGAAAAACCACATCAAATCATGTCTACCTCACCAAGGACTTCCCCCCCGAGACCACTCATAGACATGAAATCTGCCAAGCGTACACCTACGCAGCTCAAGTAAAAAAAAAATAAGGGGGAAAATATGGCACTGTTAAATAAAAGATAAAATAACACTGTTAAATAATGCTGCTGGTTCTGATAACTGGCTTTCTGCTCCGCCTTCACCAGCGAGTGTTCAGTCTAGACTGTATGTAAGCAATTAATAATAAATGTGTATTAGTTTTTAAAGAGGCCGTGGGCTGTTATGATGCAGATTTATGTAGTTTAGGTGTTCAATCACCTGCCAGGCGGTTTATGCACATTACAGTGCTTCAGCTGGCAGGGACAGAGAGCAGGGAGCTAACAAAGAAGCATGCCACTGCTTCTGCGCTGCACTGGTTTTAGGGTCAGGTTGTGTTTGTTTGACAATGCAAAAAAAGCATAAAGTTACTCTGTGTAACTAGCCAAAAATATTTAAAATACTGTGACGATATAATAGCTATTAACAGTGAATGATAAGACAATATTTAGCAAGGAATAACACTGCTGTCTCCCGTTCAGTTACATCCGCCTGTTCCTTTTCCAGAGCCTACCTGAGCAGACTGGATAGCGGGTGAGAGGAGGCGCCGTGCCCGCCGCTGTTGCCGCTTCCACCGGTCCCGGATGACCCGCTGCCGGTGCCAGCGGACTGTCGCTTCCCGGACAAAAGCTTCTCCACTGCGGCCAGGTTTCCCGTCCGCGCCGCTTCAAGAAGTTCCTGCTCCTTCCCCATCGCGGATCCCAGAAAGAAAATCGGGGGAGGCGCGGGCAAGAGCAGAAAAAAAGGGGGGCTTGGCTACTGCGGGAGAGAAATTCCTCTGCGATCCCCTGTTTTTTCCCCTTCCCAAACCTCAAGTTACTCCTCAGTACTGCTCGGGTGGCGAGGAAACAAAAGCTCCCCTCCGCCGCTGGGTTCGTCCGTCCCGATCCACGGTGCCGCTGGCGCTCAAGGGGCAAAAGTTTCGTTCAGCAGCACGGTACCACCATCGAGCAAACTTCCTCTGACCAGTCCCCTGAGCCTCGTCCGTCACTTCCTCGAAACTGCCCTTTCTCTCGGCGTCTCCAATCCAAAACCTTTCAGACACACGCGACACCTAGCGCCCCCGCCCTAGCTGCTTGAGAGAGGAGGTGGATGGGCAAAAGCAAGATGGCGCCTGGGCTACACTCTGTTTAGGGAGTGGGCGGAGAGGTAGATTATACCCATCCAGTGCTTTAAATGTCTGTCCTCCTATCATGTCTAGAGTCCACGGCAAATAGCTAAATCAACCCTTTAATTATTTACTGTTATTAGATAATCATCCACGTTGTTACTCTGTCGACTTAAATGAGAGACATGAATTTACTCAAAAAAAATAAATAAATACAGTCGCCAAACTAAACAACTGTGAACTAGCTGAGATGATCAACTTAGAAGAAGAGTGTCAAATTCCCCCATGGGTGTGAACAACAGGAGTATGTCACAACAACTTATCTGGTGACAGCAATGACGTTGGCACTGTAATAAGTTAACTGTAAATTAGGAATGACTGTAAAAACTGTGATTCATCTGGCTCTTGCAACATAGTTTGGAACTTAAGAGCGTTAAGAGTAAAATCGGAACACTGCATTTAAACGCTATTTTATAGCAGTTATAGCATAATATATATATATTTACTGTAAATGTGTTGTTTAATGCTAGCATACGATAATAAGTTACGTTATTGCGGTGTGTGTTTGTAGCTTACCATCGGTGTCTATAAAGTTCGTTCAAAACAGGAAACGGAAACACAAGAGTATGCTAGCATTAATCCATTAAGCAGAGAAAACTAGCATTTTCATGCCATCAGTGCTCTTTGATTAAGGAGTTGGTTACATTTAATTCTTTGTAAGTGCGGTAAGTTTAGCGCCATGTGTTAGCTGCCTTTCTACTATTACTCGTCAGTTACTAGGCTAGCGTTAGCCTAACTCCACCGTTATTTTGGCTAATGCTGCTGTTTTGTTGACGCCTAGCTGCAGAGAATGTAGGTGCATGTTGTATTCGCATTTTCATCAACCAATTGTGATAATTAACACAAACCCGTATAGTCTTCTCTAACGCCTGCTAACGTTAGCCAAGCCGGTCACTAACTGAACAACTGGCTTGTTGATGTTGCAGAATCTCAAGCTGTCGGCCAGCCAGAAGGACTGAGTGATTATGGCTGACCCTGCACGGATCAAGCCTGAGAGTACACCAGAGAGAACAACTTCTGCTAACGAGGAACATCCTAAATCAGAGGACACTGAAGATTTACCATCCACAGCAAAACCTACAGATGAAAACAAAGAGTCATCCTCGCAAGATCAGCCCAATCAGGAGGTTAAGTCTGTGAGTTCCGGAGCATCATTTCGCTAACATCAGATGAAGAAATGGGGCTCAAATGAAAGACAAGTGGACCATACCAGATACGTTTTATAGAGACCATACCAAAGTTTTTCCAAAGGGCTACTAAATCACATTCGTTTTACACCATGCCAACTAGGGCTGAGGATGTTTAGACATTTGTTAATACTATAGCTGATGGTACATAAATGGCACCAATACCAAAACGGTACTCTTTTTCATTACCTTACTTTGAGAAGTATTAAAGAACATTGTTTATGTTTTGAGAAAGATAACAAACATTCTCTACAAGACCCATTTTCCATTCAACATAAAATGCCAAATAAAAATGTTACATATACACAAGTGGCTGCAAAAGTTGATTAAAATTAGTAACCATCTGATCAGATAACAAGATTACAAATCTGAGGTTGAGTTTGGAATAAAGTTCATATTTGAGGAAAAATAACACAACAACCCAGGAACAAAAGTTACACAGAGATGCAAGTAAATTTTAACTTTTGATAAGCTGAAACCAGCAGATTTTTACTGACTTTAATTAATGACAATTGATTGCCAAACATCAGACATATTGTGTGTTTGGATACAATATTTGATCAATGGACTATTTGTTTCAGCACTTATGGCACTTTGTGTGCATTTAAATTAATAATTGACAGCAGTGCAGCTAAGTGAAATTAAGAAATTAGGTAATTCACTGTATGTACAGACAATAGGTCAGACAAAAAATAATGATGAGGATGAATTTAATCAGATGAGTATTTAAGTGAACACTCAGTATTAATGTGTTAATGTGGTTTCAAAAAGGACATCTCGTTGTTTTAAATGTCTTGAAACATTTTTGTTTTCCACTGTGAAGGAAATGGCAGCTGGGGATGATGAGGAAGAAGGGACTTCTGGCCAACCTCCTTCCAAAAGACTTAAGGTGGAACCAGAGAAGAAAAAGGAGAAGCGCCACAAGGTCGATGAGGATGAAATACAAAAGATGCAGTAAGACTGAGATTTCTAACAGAAGATCTTTTTTAATGCAGTGTCTCATCCCAGTCAACACCACAGTCTTTCCCTGGACTTCTTCTTACAGGGTTTTGGTGTCATCCTTTTCTGAAGAGCAGCTGAATCGCTATGAGATGTACAGACGTTCAGCCTTCCCTAAGGCTGCTATTAAGAGGGTAAGCTTTTATAAACGTGGACAGCGCGTTTTGAAATCTCAGAAACTACTATATTGGCTTGACGTCTGTCTTTTCTTTTTCTAGCTGATCCAGTCCATAACAGGATCATCAGTGTCCCAGAATGTGGTGATTGCCATGTCTGGTATTTCCAAGGTTTTTGCTGGGGAAATTGTCGAGGAAGGTGAGTGGCAGACTTGGATAACAGAACTTTCAGACCAAATAAACTAACATATGAGTAAACCTTTTTTTTTTTTTATTTGTCCTTGCAGTTGAAAGGTTTACTATCATGTAGTAAAATAGTCTGTCTTTGTCCTTACAGCATTGGACGTTTGTGAGAAATGGGGAGATACACCACCGCTTCAGCCCAAGCATATGAGGGAAGCAGTGCGGAGATTGAAGAGCCGAGATCAGATTCCCAACTCCAAGTACAAGCAAATCCTCTTTCATTGAGACTCCTGTGCTTTAGGTTGTAAGGGGATCGTGGGCTGATGTCTGCGATTTAAAAAAGTGGAGCCACAACCTTTGGAAAACGTGTCATGAAGCCTCTGTGGGCCGTACTGCACGTACTAGACATGGATTATTCACTGCTAACCAAACGGTCAATATCAGTGACTGTAGTATTGATTTAATGGTCAATACTGTGGCCTGCCATTCACCTCTAATTGTCATGGTAAATGGTTGATGCAACATACAGTTCAAATGACGTGAAATGATATTCATGTATGGTTGTAAATACAGTATGCTTTATTATACTTATGAAATGTTTTGTTCTTGTTATTTTAAAGGAGAAATGCTTTTTTGGTGGGAAAATTGTGTGATGCCTTTAAGTTCAAATGCTTGTTTGGATCATAGACTGTATATAAAAAGGTTTGGATCCTTTCTCAAATTATAAAATTGTAATTGTAGAGTAGTTGAGTGCATAACAGTCACTCCATATCTTGTTTGTTGTTTTTATAAGGTTGATTTGGGAATAACCAGGGTATAATGATACGGTGGATTATTCCTAGATTATTAGGAAAAGTGTTTTGGGAAAAATGTGACTCATCATTCAGGTCATCTTTGAATTGATTTAGTTTGACTCAAAACTAAAATAAAAAGATGTTTCAAGTTTTATTTGGAAATATGTAGACTTTATTGTCAAAGTATAAGTCAAACTATGGATCACACTATTAAAACAACTGGAGTGAGACTTGAACATACAAGTTTCTGGATATTTTTTTGACAAAACAGATGCAGTGGATTATTTATTAATGGAAACATGCATTTTATTTAAAACTTAAAGGCACAACTTTAATGTGTTCAGCAATTAATCATTTATTCTTTCACTTTTAAAATAGTCTCCACATACTAGCTTTGGTTCACAGAACCAAGTTTATACTGGTCTCAATGAAGTGATAGACAATACAAAATTCAATGTAACTACACAACTGACAAAAATACTGTCCACACGGTCTCTAACATCTGCATCACTTAGGAAGATTTCAAAGACTCCTGCGATTCCTTGAGGTGATATATATTAAAACAAGTGCAATTTCCAGTGAATTTATCACAAGTGCAAGTAACTCACGAGGCATTAACTATACATCACTTCAGTACATGCATCTGCTTTCCAGTGGCCAACATTTTGCCAGGTCAGTTCGTGTCCTCCTTTCTGCATATTTGTGAGTAGGTGGAATTCGGAGCACCAGTTTGTGAGCAGACTAGAGGATGCTACTTAACACTGAGGCCTGACTGGAGAGAGGGAACCTAGATCAACTTTACAGCTACATGTTGCATCCAGCGATGGAAGTTCCATTTTGCACCACTTTATCTTTGTCTACTAAGGCCATGCAAAAGCAAAAAACAAAAACATCTAAAGCTTGAGAAGAATTATCACAACTATAAGTGATACTGAGGTTAAATGGTAGTATATCTGCTTTAATACACTGATGGAGTGAGGATGTTGTTCACATGCAGTTGAGGGAAAAATTGTTAAAGCCTGGTAGACAGGTAAATACTTTTTCTTTGACATTTATCACCTTAAAAATGGAAGTATTCCATATCAACAATGTGTAGTGTTACTGTTCCTTGTCATGTTTTTTGGTTAAACCAAAGCGCTTTCTATTGCTTAAATATTATACAATCCTCTTTAAGAATGCAAATCTGTCATTCATTGCTTGCAAGGCAACCAACGTTTTGTTTTTTTTCCAAAGAGAAAGAAAAGATGTTTTGAATGATAAATGTTGAATGGGAGTGCTATAGCAAGTCACAGCCACCAGGGGTCTCCCAAGCACCCAATGGGACAATGATGAATAGAAGTGAAAGGTAGTTGTAACAGCGTTGTAACCAATCAAATAGATAATCACACCACCCAAAGGCTAAACCACTGATTTAACAATGTAACATTTGTACATAAAATGTAGCTGACAGAAACCGTTTTCATGAAAGCATTCATAAAATGAATGTTATACTGTTAAACAGTCTTTTTCAGTTTGAATCCATGCATATAGCAGATTTATGCATGGAAAAAAGTGACAGACATTTAAACTGGCAGCTGGTCTGACAGAGAAAATCTGCAGCAGTTCAGGATACTGAAAAATATCAGTTTTTGTTGTGTCATTTACATAACACTGTGTGCGTGCATGATCAGTACCACAACTTTTTTAAATGTAATTTCCTTTGAATGATATGGCTTCACTACATTTAAGTAAAAAAAACAAACAATCATGCTTTGACAAATGTTAATAAATATACAAAACCACATCCAAAAACAGGTTAATGATGTCTGACCACAATACTACCGTATACATCATAAATGTGCACAGAGGTAATAACACTAGCATTCTGACTTGTTTCCTGGAAAGCTACAGAACATGTTTTAAGTAAATCAAGTATTTTAACTCTGGTATCTCATCGTCCCATATGTTTATAAACCAAACATCTTAAGTGTGAAAACGCAGTTATAATACTGAAGCTACTGTGCAACCTGCTCTCCACAGCCAAGGGAGAACTCGAAAGGCATGTCGTCTTGAGTGAACATTCAACCCCAGAGCGTATTGTTTCACAGTACAAAAGAAGCGCGGTCAACATTTCACAACACAAAGAAAAATAACACTGGTGGAATGATTCAACCCGCTTTTTGAGCACGGTGAGAACTTGATAAGAGTGTGTAACCACTCCACGCTGGTGATAAAGCAACCAAGGTGGAAAGTGAGATGCATCCATCTCTCCATGAAGCAGTGTAGTCCTGCTTTCTTTAAAAAAAATAAAAGTGCTTTGTTTTCTCTACAGTTCACCACACATCTTCAACAAGTAACATCTTTAGAATACTTTTAAATTAAAAGTAACACACACCTAATAGAAGTAATTCACATTACTATGTATGTAGAGTTATGACAGTCTATAAATTAGCACGGTTCACAAAGCATGCGTGACAGTGACAGTCATGTTTTATAGAAGGACGGCTGATGGACTTGCAGCTTGTCTGGCAGTGTCAGTGCATGTGAAGAGGAGGTTTTGGCATGTGCTTGACCTAACATTTCTGTAACACAAGTAATTAACTTGAGAGAATAAAAGCTTGATAATTCCTACCCTTACATGCTGTGTGACAAACACTAAAACCACACAATGACTTTACTGTCCATGCTGATTTGGATGAGAAAGAACCAGAATAATATGTGATTTGTACAGCAGTGAGGAATATCTAGACTGCCAGATAAAAAGTAGTACCAATAATGTACCTGTAAGTTAGTTCACTAAGTTACCCTTGTAGTAGTTGTTATAGGGGCTCTTTTGTAATCACAAGAATAGTGTGATAAAGCAAGTGGGAAGTGGTCCAAAGCCACAACTTGGATCTTCTTTTCAAACGTGTCCAATGTCCAGACATGCCCCGGAAGAGTCTTGCCGGTTCCTGACATTCAGCCAGATACATCCCCATCACTGTTCCTCAGCAGGAGCAGTGATACAGAAGGTTCAGAGAGTAAACGTGGGGTCATACTTCCTGACTTCCAGAAGGAGGCGTTCTCTGTCACTAAGGGCCTGGGTGAGAGCAGCCTGGGCACCAGAGAGCTTGGACTCCAGGGCGTGTCTCTGTAAAGGCAGGATTATTGGATTGGTCAATTCCAGCTAATGCACGCTTTGCAGTGGGCAGATTCCAGATTCTGACGGACAGCAACAAGTGTAATTACAACACCGCTACACAATCTTGTATACTGAAGTCACATCTCAGCTGTATTTAAGATGGACAAGAAAGAACAAGAAATATTTTATTGCTACTTATTATATCCTGTGAGTTATATGGTTTTATTATAACCATGTTTTTTGGTGTGTAAAAAGAAAATGGTCTTAGATGCCAAATTTAATTAATAAATAAAATAAATAAATAAAAATAAAATTAAAATAGGGCTGGGCAAGTTAATGCGTTATTTAATTAATTAACGCTGACGATTATTTTATCTCACGTTAACGCAGTTTTTATTATTATTACTATTATTTTGAAAGTCCGTTGCTCACTGGCTCACTGAATAGTCTACACTTATAGTCAAACTATGAGTCACATGAGGGGTGGGATGTTGATCAGCCTGCAAATCAGCCACCTAAACAAGCAGTCGGAGGGAGGCTTCGGCAGACTACTTGGATGCAGCGTGTGGGAGAAGTAAAACAGTGGCTCCATGAGTAAACAGCAGGCGGTCTATGGATAGTAACCATGGCAATGGCTTCTGTGTGCTACACAGCTGTAGCCTATTTAACTTAAGTTAAAATTATAGGCTATAACTTTACATGATAGGCCTATATCTAGCTTTGCGGGGATGTTCTGCCAATGCGAAATCCCTCCTGTTGATGTCCTGATAACCATTTAGTAAACAGTAATGGATTCTGGAAACTCAAACAGCGAGAATCAGTCTCTCTTCCACTGATTTGTGCTGCGCGTGACATACAGTTTAATGACAATTCAACTTCAGCAGCGGGTTAGCGTGTGCAGTGGCAAATAGCTTTGGTTTTAAATTTGATTACATTAATGTTTAAATTGAGATTTAAAAGAAATATTTTATTGCTACTGTGTAAAAGGAATTGCCTACTGCTGGTTAAAAAGCACCTTATTTGTTTAAGTGTTTTCAAACCACATGTTATTGCACTTTTCAGTATATAGCAGTACATTTAAATTAAAAGTACGCAATACAGTACTTTAGAATTCATTATTCAATTTTGCGCATAATAATGCGATTAATCGCATGATTTTCTGCGATTAAAATTTTTAATCGTTGCCTAGCACTAAATAAAATATATACTGTATTTGACCATCAACATTGTTTTAAGACTACTACTTTCCTTTATTCCATTTTATGTCAAATTAATATAAAAGCCTTTAGTTACCATTTATGAAATGTTTAAATAGTCTAACATGGTCTAACCAGGCTAAAGAAATCCAAACAATCTACATGTAGGAGTGATGTCCTCAGTATTTCTACAATCCTGGCTACTGGCACACTAAGCTAAAGTACTGCTTCGTCCCCTACCTTGCTCTGCTGTTGAACAAAACAGGAACTGTTTGGGCTGTCCAGGCCAGCCACAGGAACACCTGCTGAGGCTTTAGGGTCTGTACCTTCAGCTGCAAACAAAAAGGAAATGGTGAATATCACTTTCTGTTAATCTTTCTGTAAAGCTGTTCCAGCAGATGTTATAAACTGGAGTGTTTGTGGTTTTACAGTTCATGATCCTGCTGATATATGGGCGTATCCACAATACTGACCAAGCATTCCATTCATCATAGTGCACAGACTTAAAGTCAAAAAAAGAAGTTATTTTCTTGCTCACCTTTGAGCCTCATGACGCCATTTTCACTGCGCTCGAGGAGCAGCTGTTCTATAATGAATGAGGCTGGGACTGGTTGAGGGGCTGTAGGGTAGATTTTAGGGCTATCATCCTAAAAGAAACAAAAAGGATCCAGAGAGTTACCAGACTGTTCAATTTACTGTATTTCACCAGGATAATCCACTCAGTTTTACTGCGGTGCAACAAGGAGTCCTGGGTATTTATACTAAAAACAATGATTGAGGTATTTAATTCAGTTTATTAAAATACTTTACCATTCACCATTCAGTGAGTAGATTGTCCTCAAAAGACAGATTGTGAGA